ATGACTATTTTTAAAGATTTCTGAAATACTGCTACCTTTCCCATGTAGGCTTTACTCACATACAGTGTGTTAGGCTGGGTTTTTATAATTTACTTGAGCCAAAACAACAGAGTGCAACACTGAACACAGAAGCTGATGGAAGCATCAAGTCAGCATCTATGCTGCCTGACATTATAGAAATTAGCAAAAAATAAACAGTGCCACTCTTACTACTTTGAAAAGTTTTGGAAGATACAGGTTTTTTAAATTAAAAAATGTTACTTATGTTAATGTCATGTGTTTATTATGGTTAATTTTAATAAATATTTTAAAATTTATCAGTCTTAATTTCTAATGTGATAAATATTAGTAGATTTAACCCACACCAATATTTTCTAAGAGTGTAAGGAGGTCCTGATGCTGAAGAGTTTGAGGACTTCTGGCCTAAGTAAGCCCTTGATTACATGAATCACAAATAGATACAGAAGTGGTCACCACAGCTTGATTTTTAATAAGGGAGAAATTATGTCCCTTCAATAAGAGAAAGAATAAATCGTGTATGTATATACATATACACACAGATCTCAAACAGATACACACACACATCTCAGGAACACACTGTTGAGAAGAAAAGGAAACTGAAAAGCACTGTCCAAGATGGTGCCAGTCATTTCTATTTTAAAACAATGAACAATAGTACATTTTGTTTAAGGGTGAAAACAGAAACATCAAATGGACCTTCAGGAGGCTGCCCAGCAGGTTCATAACTGAGACTGCATGTGGGAGCGAGGAGGGAACACCACTGGGGTGGGGACAGCGGACACTGGGCACTGCAGCTCCTGCCTGCAGAGCCTCATTTCTCTTATTTAAAAAGGATGGGGGGCCTTTCCCTGCTCCCAGCCAGAGAGCAAGCCCGCTTTAGGGCAGCCTCTCCTCCAAACCCTACTTCCCTGAGATGACACTGCCTACTAGATGGCCATCATTAAAAGTCCTGGGGTTGGCTAGAACCCACGTAGCATACATCCTTGACTCTGTTAGAAATCTACTCATACTGTTTGTGCCAGTAAAGATTTTGTTATAGGTCCACCTGAAATCTCAGGTGTGAGAATGGGATTTATAAACCTGTAATTATAAGCCTGTTAATTTTTAAGTACCCCCTTCTGTATGTTTTTATTTCAGTCCTGTGTTTTCCACTACTATTTAAACTACTTTAAGCCAAAGAGCTCTCCACTACTTCGGGTTTACACTGCTCTCAGCACTGTCTGATCTCTATTCCTAGGGTTTCTTCAGTGCATGAATACTGGAGGAAAACTTGATAAAATCAAAATTTTTTGCACCTCAGCAAAGGAAACCATAAATGAAAGGACAACCTACAGAACAGGAGAAAATTTTGCAAACGATGCAACTGGTTAATTTTCAAAATATACCAACAGCTCAATACAGAAAAGGGGGGAGGGGCAGAAGACCTAAGTAGACATTTTATCTCCAAAGAAGACATAGAGAGTGCAGCAACTATACTCCAAAAAAAATTGTTTTTAAAAAACTTTAAAAAGAAGACATACAAATAGCCAGTAAGCACATGAAACGATGTTCAACACTGCTAATTATTAGAGAAATGCAAATCAAAACAATAATAAGGTACCACTTCACACTGGTCAGAATGGCCATCATTAAAAGTCTACAAATAACAAATGCTGAAGAGTGTATGAAGAAAACAGAACCCTCCTTACACTGTTGATGGAAATGTAAAGTGATACAGCCACTATGGAGAATAGTATGAAGGTTTCTCAAAAGCTACCATATGATCCTGCAATCCCACTCCTGGGCATATATCTGGAGAAAACTATAATTCTAAAAGATACATGCACCCCAATGTTCACAGCAGCCCTATTTTACAATAGCCAAGATATGGAAGTAACCTAAATATCCATCTACAGAGAAACAGATGAAGAATATACATGATGTAATACTATTTAGCCATAAAAAAGGATGAAGTACTGTCATTTGCAGCAACATGGATGAACCTAGGGATTATTATATCAAGTGAAGTAAGTCAGGCCAAGACAAATACCATAGGATATTGTCTATATGTGCAATCTGGGGGAAAAAATGATACAAACAAACTTACTTACAAAAAGAAACACACTCACAGACATAGAAAACAAATTTATGATTACCAAGGGGGAGGATGGGATTAAATTAGAAGTCTGGGATTAAAATATACACACTAGTATATATAAAATAAATAACAAGGATCTGTGTAAGCATAGGGAACTATACTCAGTATCTTGTAATAACCTATAAAGGAAAAGAATTTAAAACAGAATACACATACACATACACACACACATACACACTGCAGTCCAGGGGTTAAGATTTTGCACTTTCATTTCAGGGAGAGCAGATTCAGTCCCTGGTCAGAGAACTAAGATCCCTAATGTGGCCACAAAAAACAAATGATACAAGTGATACAATCCCAAAACTAATACAGCATTGTAAATCAACTGTATTTCAACTTAAAAAATTTAAGTCTTTGTGCCTGATTATTTTTGGCCTTTCAAGAGTATATTTTAATATTTCCAACCAAATATTCAACAAACATATAAAAAGAGAACACGTGTAGAAAGAAAAATAAATATATAATTCTCAAAGGAAAAAAATCAGGCATTTAAAGGGACTAAGCAAGGGGAAAGCCTACAGTAAGCTCAGCTAGAAAGTCAGGCTTCCAACTCTGCACCATCCTGCAGGTACAGTGCCACCTGCCACACAGCATCTCATGACCCACCCTGGCAGCCGTGTGGCCTCCTCTCAGCTGTCTTTCACATTTGTCAATTTTCATCAAGGCACTTGGCTTTTAAGTTCACAAATCAGTGACAGGAGAGCCATGCCTTCCACAGCAGTTCGTGTATTGATGGGAATTCCTCTGGCCTTCAACCACCCTCATTTCAAAGGGCACCTGGTCCCTATGATATTCCTCAGTCCCTCAGTGAGTAACAACTATGTGCCAGGGACACAAAACCAGTGAGGTGAGGACATAAGCAGGAATGCAGGCTCCCACAACAATGAAGCTAAATAAAAGCAGCCAGACACAAAAGACCATGTGGTATATGACTGCATTTATGAGAAACGTCCAGAAAAGGCAAATTCATAGAAACACAAGCAGATACTAATCTGCCTGAGAAGGAGACTGGAGTGTGACTGCAGATGGGCATGAGGGGTCTTTGAAGGACGAGGAAATGCTCTGGACTACAGAGATGCTGTACAACTATGTAAATTTACTACAAGTCTCTGATTTATTTGTATGATTTGATCTGTATGATTTAAATGGGTGAATATTATCACGTAACTTTTCAGAGCTAACAAATCACTTCTCTTTATCAGCCAACATCTCCTGAACTTGTAGGGCAGTTCTGGCCTGAGCTGCACAGCTTGGGCATCCACCATTCCCAGGGACTTAACTTGTACCCCTTGCATCCAGATGGTGCTGGCATGCCCCATCCTTGGGAGAACTGAGAAAATCTCTGGAGTCAGTCTGGGAATGGAATCCAGTTGAGAAAGGCTACATGCTGTACAAAAATCAACACTAAAGTTGAATCCCATCAAGTCTAAAGATTTCATTAAAATAATTTCAGAGGTTTTAAACCCATTGATAAATTTTAATTAAATTTTACATGAAAAGGACAAAGTACTTTTTTAAATTACAAAATGTAAATGCTATTCTAAATGGGATTAGAAAATTTTAAAATCTGTTACTTTAAAAAAATATGAAAGAATGAGCTCTGAGTGTCACAGATGAAGTAGACAAGAGACGATACCGCCTAGGTTAGGAGAACACTTGTAAGCAGCTGGAGGCTTTCCATGCCCACCTGCGTTCGCGGCCACAGAACCCCACGCGCCCAGGCTAGCGCCCTCTGGACCCGGTGGTCAGCCGCAGAGCGGGTCCTGACCCCACCCCGAGTGATGGCCCCGTGCGAGGTGACACCAGGCCTGCGGAGCCAAGGATGCCGTCCCCTCACCCTGGGCCCTGGAGTGCATCACTGCCCTTCCCGCGGCCCAAAGAGTAACAGAGCCCGCCCTCCTCGAGGCCGCAGGTCAGGCCCAGGTGGGTCTGGACCCACTGAGGCCTCAGCCCGCTCACCCGAACACATGCTCAGAGCTCCAGACCCTCATCACACCGCAGAGCGCGGCCAGGGATGCTCCAGACCTGGGGATGCTCGGCTCCGTTCAGGGGCGGAGCGAGAGCACGCGGAGAGCGGGGCGGGACTCAGCGCGGAGCCCATACATCACGTGAGCGGCGGTCCCAGGGCTCAGCAGAGGCGCGCGGAGTGCAGCCGTGTAGGTGGTGGGCGCGGAGCGCCACCTTCCGGAAGTGGGCAGGGTTCACTCCTATAGGTCAGATGGTCCAGATTCTGAGAAAGCCCCTTCCAGCCAGGCAGGTTCCACCACAGTGGGAAAGGATGCGTAACTGTGTCCTGCCAGCCCGACAAGCCTCTCCACCGAGTGGAGGAGGAAGGAAGCAGAAGGTGTAGAAAGGCCTTAAATCAGAACGTGAGACTTCTCGCAGCCCCTCCGCCTCAGGATTTGAAGACTCCAAGAAATCCAACCCTTTACGTAGCCACATTGCTGAGACCCTCTCGACCCGTTCTCAAGTATGAGGACTGACAGCACTACTTGTCAGAGCTCATCCTAAATTCACCCGGCCACTGGAGTGGCTCCTTGGATTTGCTACTTGTCTTCACCCAAAGGAGAGATACATTTCTCATTCCCATAGGAGGTGGGGTTGCAACTGGAAGCCTGGTGCTCTCTGGAACTTAGGCTGACATTTCAAAAGGATGACTCCTTTGTCATCCCGATCCCTGAGAAGAAAACATTCCTAGGTTGTTCAACTAGCTAAAGGCCTACTTGGCCTTTTAAAATGTTTATATACATCTCAGAGCTAGATCAGCAGCACTAGAGGTCCCTTCGGGGAGATTTAAAGAACCCTTTTGCGGAAGGAACATATTCGCTTATACGGTTTCAGAATGTCAAGTACTGTGTCCTACTGGATTCTCAGTTCTGCAAGGAAGACCATTGCCACATTAGAGGGGAGACAACGTTTATATTCAAGGTATGCCTCAAATAGGATTAAATCAAAATGGAGACTCTTTCCTCAGGGGCCAGCCACCCTAAAAGACAACGCCGCTGCATGTGGTAGCATTGCTCTGCGGAAAGCCTACAGACACACATCAACGGAGGAAGAGGACTTCCACTTACAGCTCAGCCCTGAGCAGGTAAATGAGGTCCTGCGAGCTGGTGAGTCGGCCCACAAGATTCTTGACCTTGTCAGCAGAGCTCCAGATTCAGTGTTACGGTTTGAGAGCAACCAGCTAGCTGCCAATTCCCCAGTGGAGGACCGGGGAGGTATAGCTGCCTGCCTGCAGACCAATGGACTGCTGTTTGGCATCTTCGATGGACATGGTGGCCACGCATGTGCTCAAGCAGTGAGCGAGAGGCTCTTCTACTATATGGCTGTGTCACTAATGTCCCAGCAGACTCTGGAGCAAATGGAGGAGGCCATGGAAAGCATGAAGCCCCTGCTGCCCATCCTTCAGTGGCTCAAGCACCCAGGGGACAGTATCTACAAGGATGTCACGTCGGTGCACCTTGATCACCTCCGTGTCTACTGGCAGGAGCTGCTAAACCTGCACATGGAAATGGGGCTGAACACTGAGGAAGCATTAATGTACTCCTTCCAGAGACTGGATTCTGACATCTCGCTAGAGATTCAGGCCCCCCTCGAAGATGAGATGACCAGGAACCTTTCACTCCAGGTTGCTTTCTCAGGGGCAACGGCTTGCCTGGCCCATGTTGATGGGGTTCACTTGCACGTGGCAAATGCTGGTGACTGCCGGGCCATCCTTGGTGTCCAGGAAGACAATGGCATGTGGTCTTGTCTGCCCCTCACCCAGGACCACAATGCCTGGAACCCAGCCAAGCTGTCATGGCTGAAAAGGGAGCATCCTCAGTCCGAGGACAGGACGGTCATCATGGAAAACAGGCTGCTGGGTGTCCTCATGTCCTGCAGGGCCTTTGGGGACGTCCAGCTGAAGTGGAGTAAAGAGCTGCAGCGCAGTGTCCTGGAGCGGGGCTTCGACACCGAGGCCCTCAACATCTACCAGTTCACCCCTCCCCCACACTACTACACCTTACAGCCAGGCCAGAGGTCACCTATCACAGGCTGAGGCCCCAGGATAAGTTCCTCGTGCTGGCCTCTGATGGGCTGTGGGACATGCTGGGCAATGAGGATGTGGTGAGGCTGGTGGTGGAGCACCTGGCTGAAGAGGGTCAGCACAAGCCAGACCTGGCCCAGAGACCCACCAACCTGGGACTCATGCAGAGCCTGTTGCAGCAGAGGAAAGCCCAGGGCCTCCACGCGGCCGACCAAAACGTGGCCACACGTCTGATCAGATACGCCATAGGGAACAACGAATACGGGGAGATGGAGCCTGAGCGGCTGTCGGCGATGCTGACGTTGCCAGAGGACTTGGCGAGGATGTACAGGGATGACATCACAGTCACCGTGGTGTATTTCAACTCAGAATCAATTGGTGCCTCTTCCAAGAGGAGTTAAGAGTCTCCCACCCTGTTGCCAAGGTTAACTTCAATGTTCTTCTGAGACATTTTCCCTTACTCTGAACCTGGCTCTTTAGACCCTATGGTTGAAGGGCAGGCGGATAGATGCAGCTTGCTTAATTATAGACTAATGTGAGGAAAAAACAGCCTTAGGTTAAAAACAAATCTAGTGATTTTCTGTGCCTGAGTGTTTTGATCACCTCTTCTACGCAGAGAGAGTAGACCACAGAGATGATCTACTTGTCTTGGGCTCATGTAACCCAAGTCCTTTTATAAAGACACTGTTAAAACTGTCAGCCTGAGCCTGGAAAGGGTAAATTTAATTATGATTCTAAGAATATGAAGAAGTCCAGGATCTTCTGAGCTCTTGCTGCAAAATCTGCAGACTGATAATTCTCTCTGTGTAATCATGGACTTCTACACTATGAAGAGAGGTTTTTGTTTTTTATTCTGAAGTTACTAAAGACCTAGGTTTACAAAGCATATTACAGGACACTTTTCTATGCAAAATTTTAACTTGTGTGTGTGTTTTTAGTTGTGAAAACATTTTGTAATGCTGCATTCTAGTTCTGATTTAGTTTGTTAACATTGAGTTCTCAAAAAAAAAAAAAAAATGAGTCCTCAAACTTGCAAAATAGGCGTGCTGTGAGCGAGCATGCTTGGAATGAGTTTTCTTGGTTTTTCAGCTGCGGGTGAAGGTGGCCAGGCCTCTGGACCAGCTGAATTTGTGTAGCTTTCAAGCCCTTCCTCTTTGTCCCACCCCTTGAACCTTTGAGCCATGCTAGGAGGTAACTTCTGTCTGAGCCTTAACTCCTGGCCTTTCCTTCATTAATAAAATTTCGTCCAGTGTTCAGTAAATCTCTACAGATTTATTCATCAGCCTTTCTGATTATACTTCTCAAACATTCTTCTAATTCCTCCAAATGCTCCTTCCCCCTCTGCTATGCTGAACTCGCTCACCCTGCTGACTGTGCAATACTGTCTAGGAAGAATGCTCTCACTTCACACGGTTTCAGAGAAGCAGGAAATTCAAGACTGCATGTGGTAACCGTGACAGTTTAGGCAGGACTGGCTTATGCAGTGGATTCTAGACTTTAAGATTCAGCTTGAATCTGGAGAGGTAAAAATGTGAAGGACCTGAGAACAGTTGCTAACCAAGGCTCCCTGGCTACATCCCCAGGAGTAGTGGGGAGGAGGGAGGAGGGAGATTTTTTTCAGATGGGACATTTGCCCATAAACTAGTGGGATAAATGGCCATTGCTACTCCTCAGTAACTAGGCCTTATTTAGTATAGGAGTTGGGGCAAAAAACCAATGTAACCTGTAGTAGCTTCTGTGGGCTGCACAGTCTGTGTTTATTTGAAAATTATTTTTAGGGGGATGAATTTCATGTTCTGAAATTGCTGTAGCATTTAAACAGGAAGTGTGTCTCTAGATGGAAACAAATATAATCCTGCAAAACTGACTTCATTTTCCTGCACTACCTTCCTGTTGATGGTTCCCCTCATCTCACCCCCTTGAGCCACCCACTGAAAGGAAAGCAAAATAGCTAGGTATGACTTTCACATTCGGGACAAGGGACATTCAAGTGTTGAGACAGCCTAGGGATGTTTCCCTGTACTTTTAGTGATATTGCTTTGCCTAAGAAATTCTCTTTTGAGTGCTTAAGACTTTGTCCTTTTATTCTGAAAAATCTTAACTCAAAAATAAAACCTGAATCCCTATCATTTAGCTTGCATGAAGGTTTGTTACTAGAGCTGAACACTACTTGTCTGAAATCCCTCATTCTTTATGCCAGCTAAACCCTGGCACACCCTCAGAGCATTTACTGGGGTTACAGAGTGTCTGAATCCTGTTTTGGAGCCTCTCATGAGCTCGTAAATATACCTGATTAACTTGTGGAATAGCTGAGAGAATACAGACTCCCAACCTGTTCCTTCAAAGATGTCTGTGTTTTTTCTTAGCCTAATAGATTTGCTTTCTAATTGGCATATTGAGAGAAAAGAAAGGCTGGTTTATTCTCTGCCCTTTTTCCACTGTGAACTCTGCCATGAATGCTTCGAGGAGCAGCTCCTGGTTAACCCCAGTGTGTCTGACTCCCTGACTATCATTCTGCTGTCACTGGCCTGAGGCACATGGGCTACCACTTGAGGATGGACAGTGGGATTTGAGATGGGGTTGGTGGTACTTGTCAGGTCTTCCAAAATACTTATCATTCCTTGTATGTAAATATTTTGATATTGAGACTTCTAAAATGAACTAAAAAGTGAGATTGTTTAAGGTGTCACTTTTGAATAAACTATGCTTTATTAGTGCTTTAAATGGCATATTTATTTTAGGTAAGAAATGTTGGTAATATTGGCATACTTTAGATATTGTTATATATGTAAATAATACAGTTCTGCTGATTCTGGGGATTGATCAAAATGAATAGAGAAGTTCTAAGTTCAGGTTAGTATGTTAGGTCAAGTTATGTGTACAGTCTTCTGAGATGATATTTGGAACATTAAAGCTAATTTATTATAATGAAAGTGTAAACTTTGAGGTGTATTAACATTTTCCCCAGAAGTATGATTGGCTTAAAAGATCGACAAGAAAATGTTCAGAATGGATCTGGCTTGACTTGTTCATCCATCAGTCCCTAGTGACCTATTTTTCATTTGACATTTTCAGTGGTTCATTTGTCTCTGAATGTGGCTCTCATCGCAGAGGAAGCCCTGGTGTGGCTTTGGGACTAGGAGTAAAGGCTGGTGGCCCTGCTTTGTCCTCTGAGCTGCCACATGTGTCACCAAGTGCAAAACACAGTTGGCCTGCAGTGTGACCGTCTCCTGAGCAGGCTCGAGGCTCTTTCCCTGACACCTCGGACATCTGACATTTAACTAGCCTCCTGGAAAATATTTCACATCAAGCATTTACTTGGAAAAATTAACCATGTTCTTTAATATATACTGATATTCGTAAACTGTATACCAATGTTCTTTTTGACATTGATTTTCTCACCATGAGAGGTATTTAAGTGAAACTTGTAAATAAAAGAGTCAAAATGCGAAAATAAAATAAAATGTTTATATACATCTCAAAAAGACAACCTATAAGGATTCTAGAGTAAATGCTCTAAGAAAAGGGTAAGGAGAAATTCCTTTTGCTCTGGGAAAAAATGATTTTTTTTTCTTTTTAAATTTCTATTTACCCCCCACTACCAACAAATACAGTTCGAGTGCAAAGAAGCAAGATGCTAGTGTGAGAACAGGGTGACCCTCTGCTGAATGTACTGGGCACAAGGGAGCACCCAGTGCAACACACACATGGAGTGGGTGCCCAGGGCCTACCTCTGTGACTAGTTAGTGAAGTTGGGAGAGCGGGGAAGCAGCCAGAAGACCTGGGCTACGAGATCCCAGCCCACCATCTCCACGCTCCACACACTCCACCTTCACCACCTGCAGCTGGATGGATGCTCAGGGCGATCTTCCCATGGCAACGCTGCTCCCTGTTTCACTGGTGAGCAGACTGGGGTTCATGGAGGTGGAAAACTACATCCAATGATCACAAGCTGAGGACTGAGTTGAGATGACACCAGGTTTGCAGGAGTCCCCCATAGCCGTGCGCAGTGACTGGCTGCTGTGGCCAGGCCAGCTGTGAAACATGACCTGCACTAGGCTCTGAGCTCAGGGCTGTCATTTGGCTTTAAAAAGCATCATCTTTTAAAATCAGCATTTCCCACAAATACGTATTGAGCATGAGGCTAAAGAAATCAGGCTGGATGGTGACAGAAGACATTGTAGTGAGAATCTGTGGGGAAACTGAGACCCTAACCATGAACATGACTTTTAGCAAACTCTGGGAGATAGAGAAAGGCAGGGAAGCCTGGCATGCTGCAAAGAGGGGTTGCAAAGAGTCAGACACAACTGAGTGACTAAACAACAAAAAACCAGGAAACATCTGGGCAGAGATACTACTTAGTGGTGGAGGTGGGACCTGAGGGTGTGAGTCCATAGAGGGTGACCTCCTGGCTCACTGTACCTGCCTCGCTTTCAAAGCCACCTCATACACAGCTGCCAGGTCCCAGCACCTCAGTGGCTCCTTCACTACTTATACATACTCCCCTCCAAGACTTACCACAATGTGTTAAGACCACGGGAACTAGGTTACCATCATCCTTGGCAATTCCCGAGTCAGAAACCCAATAGGCGCATAATAAATCATTGACTGTTGAACAACAGATGAAAGTCACGGCCCTGCTTCAAGTCCTATACCACTACCTCCATTTTTGGTCAAACACCACCCTTTCTCTTGTCTGTTCCACCAAGTCTGGTCCAGGAGCAGCAGCAGCTGTATCACCTGGGAGCCTGTAAGGAATAGAGACCCCTGGCCCCACCACAGCCCCACCATACAGCATCTTGGCAGTCTTACCCCACTGGAACAGGCTCCCGAAACCTCTCATCAGTCATCACTGTGCTTCTAGTGTGACAAGCACTGTTCTGTCACCCTCCCCACGGGCCTCTGTGCTACGAGAGAACTACTGGTCTCTCTCTCCTGGAACCCTGCTCCCTCTGCATCCTCTGTTCTGGTCCTTCCCATCTCCCCTGCACACACCTTTTGCCCCTCTCTTCTTCTCCCTTTACACCTGCTCCCCAAGTGACTCACTGAGTATCCTGGTTTCCACTGACTTCTCACCTGTCTCTCCATCTCACCCCTACCAATCTAGGTCCTACCTCAAACATATCATGGTCATACATCTCCCACCCTAAGCAGATTCCTCATCTAGGAGTCAATGGCCAGGACCCTGGCATCACCCAGGTGCACCAAGCTAGAGTACTCCCCGACCCTACATCCAGCCAGTTACTGAGTCCTTAAGGATTTACCTCTTTCAGATTGTTTTAATCTACTCCACCTTCCACATCCTTTAAGAGCCAATTTGATTTAACAGTTGCAGCTGAAGGCATGCATTTGAAGAGGAACAAACCTGGGTTCCAGTCCTGGCTCCCCTTTTGCAAATTGC